CATATATATATAACACAAACATACATATGTAACATTTAGGCATTTCGATATCTCTATGTATATATAAATATATAGATATATATATATACATATATATAGATATATGTACACACATACACACATACTTACATATATTCGTACATACGTACACACACACACACACATATATATATATATATATATATGTATATATTTACATACAAATGTATAAGATTGAAGTTGAACCGACGAGGATGAACAGATACATATATATAACGCAATGGCACAACAGGTCCATTGTAGAATGTCCAAATATACGAGCTGTACACTGGCGTCCAGTTTTCGTTATATATGTGACTGTTCAAGCTAATTGCGATATACAGACAATTTCATTGATGACGATCCATCCTTAAAATATCTTTTACAAACATAGAACATAAGACATAAGACAGCCTACTACGTCGAAATATAATTCTTCCTCGACTGTTTAGACTTTGGGCGCGTACAGCATCTGACTAGTCTAGTACACCAAGATTCGATTTCACTTCATCTATCGGCACATAAAACATAAACACCGACCTATTTACTTTACTAAGCCTCGATACCTGCCTGGACTCGCTTGATTATAGCTATAGAGCATGTAAGCCATTTACGGTAGTAGAATCCTTGAACACTCTATACCTGTGCGAAGGTAAGCTCGTACTCCAGCGCCCTTTTTACCACTGCACCGGCAGCTTCGCCATCCCGAACTTCGGTCTGGTCGATTTCCGTACGCAATAGAAGGGCAGCATACGTATCACCGCTTACGGGAATGGGGATATGTGTACTCGCTGACACCTCGCCTGAAGGCAACGGGTTTGAAACATCTGCATGGTATTGATATATGGACGATAAAGTTGAGTATGGCGCTTATACACCTTTACTGCGGACTTGAGTGGATAGTATGTGTGCACACATACTCATGTATTTTGCTCTAATAGTCTCTGCCTGGAAATATCGATATATAGAGAATGTACGAAAAGATCATGTATGTACACGCGATAGACACGAGCGTCATGCACTGATACATTCATATCGACAATCTCGATCTGACGTACAGAATCAATACGCACTCACCCTCTCACATTTGAACTTGTCCACAATCTTTATAAACTTTAAAATAGCAAATATATAATATTAGTTGGTGATTTTACAACTTCTTAAAAAATCATCGTCAAAAAGATCAAAAAAAGTATGAACTACCCAAAACATACTACAAAAAATATAAGTAACTCAAAACATACTGGTCCGTACCGATTTTCTTGGCCACAGTCATGCGCTGCCTCTGTATGAGATCGTCAACGAGAGCATCGTAGTCCTTGACCATATCAATCAGTGGGAAGTGCAGCAAACCCTCACACGCACTCTTGCGCACACGCCAGTCCCTGTGCAAGGTGGCGGCTGTCCACAACAGCTGGATAACTCGGTACCTGCGCGTGCAATGTGTGGCCAAATTTCAGAATGAGAACGTGGACGCCACGAGTACAGGCCATTATCGGAGATGTTTCTGTGCTTGAAAATTTATATATGTATATATGATGTTCACGATCGCCATGTGAGGTCTCAGCTGGACACAGACACAGAATATTTCGGTCTTGCACGAGTGCAATGTGCGCCATCAGACAAAAAGTGAAGCTTATACGGAAGCTGAATGATTCAGTATATGAGAGGAATGTGTGACAAGTTAACAGCACGTCGAATTTTAACGTAATGCCAGTGGGAGGAATATATGTATGTGAGACAACTAGCCATAGCTTCATGATTACTTATGAATACTGAATTTTCGACCCTTGACATGCACTCTTGCGCACATTCCAGCACCCATATATGGTGGAGACTGTCCGCAAAGCTGGATATTTTGGTATATGAACGAGTGCAATATGTAGCCAATTTCGAAAGTGCAGAGGTTGTGCGTAGCAAGAGGATCTTCGTGTGTAGAAGAATAATATTCATGTTTGTAAAAATATGAAAGCGTAAACGTCTATTCGTATACTGTTTCTTTCACGTGACTTATATAGATGTTTGGATTTCGTCTGTTTGTATAGCGCTATCAGTCATGAACCTGCACGTTCAGATGGAATAAAATTCATTCGCGAGTATAAGTAGAGTGCCACATAATATTCCTAGAGCTATGATATATATATATATATATATATTGTTTATCGGAAGCACGAGCGAGATGAACGTTCGAAATCCCTTATATAAACTGTGTGCGACGTATGAACAACCAATAGTGATACATTTGCAATCATTTCGTAACATGACATTACAGTGCGGGTCTAACTAAGTATCGAATAGCATTGGATCCATACAGCCTTGTATATCAGTCAGAGTAATGCATACATGCATGTACGCACATCCGTGTCGGTACTTGCTCTTGATTCCAATATCCACACCCAAGTCCCAATATATACACCTCAACTCCAATATTCACACCTGAATTCTTCTTGACATGCCCTTCCTTCGAGGCCCGAGGGAGTGTCCTCGTAATCCTGCTTCTCAATCGTTGGCGGAATACTTCTCAGCAGATCAAGGTATCCGGCCAATACCTGGCCATACAAGAATCCGAGCATATAAACCATAATATAGGTGCAGATAACAGCTGCATAGACACAAAAAAGGGGATAATATCTCTCCGTATATACTTCTATTAATAGACCCGGACTGAAATCAACAACACCTTCTCAGACACATAAAAATACCTTAAATCTATATCGCAGACACGAAATTTAAGTCCCTCTTTGCTAGCACGACACTATATCACACCACATTATTCCTCTGTTCTCCAAAGACAAGGGTTCTCATGTATGACATTGGTATGTGCAAACATTGAAAAGGCTCTGGATCCTTTTGTCAGCGTATATGTGCTGTATCGAGGCCAACATTATAGTGATACAGATTATCAAAACAAACCCCTCGCTGTTTAACATCATAATCGCATTCACAAGAATATCCCAACAATCATCAGCAAGCGCACATGGCGCATCAGTATATTTCTTAAACACGTAAATAATCCATTCTGGCCTGAAATATGCACAATAAGCAACATATAGAAACCTCGGCCACAAGACGCAACCCCCGAGAACTTAATACGATACTACTATGTGCGAAATTGGCCATCGGCACGCAGCTCTTGGTCGGCGTTTCAGGACCACAGGCACACGTTGGTAGGCTCAACGCAACACGCTCACAGCATACGTAAATATACAATGCTTAGATAAAAAGATATAGGCATCAGCGTTTCATTCGCAATTCGTCGTGAACGACACTTTCTTGTGTGAACTCTTCATAAGTCAAGGAGCAACTATATGAACCATTTACTGAAAAACACAAACCCGTGGCCGTGTCTCATTTTGGATGTGTGACAGCTCGCCTCAATTTGGTTTCTCGACTGGTGCGGACTGAATATTTCGATACAAACCCCACTCAACAACATACAATATTCGAATGTAAGTAGAAACTGCAGTATTAACATCGATATTCCCAATGTATATATTCAGCATGATCATACAATGCGTATGCAACATTGAGCGCAGAGTACATACTTGAGGCCGTGTTTCGTTGTTGATGCATGCGAGATGTGCCGTAGCTAGTCCCAGTTCGCTCTGTCGGCTGGTGTTCGATAGGACTTTCAAAACCGCTCTTACACTAACTATATCTTCGATACACAGCTGTCTCAGTGCCTGAAGACCTGTGTGCCATGTGCGTACGCAAATACGTTACTGCACAGGTAACAATGAATCTATATTGATATATATTTCCGTACCAGTATACCACGAGACGCAATTGCACAGCAGGAGGGTTAAAAGTTTATATAAATTCCGTAGCGAGGAGGGTGTATTGAACTAGTCTTATTCGGCGTGATGTGTTTGGCCACTGATTTCCGACGATCCACGAAAATTTGGTTTAACTTCCGGAACGATGTAGCGAAGAAAAAAAACCCACTCAACACTGTGGACGCCATAGCTAGATGTTACAGAAAGGGCGAAGAAGTAATCTTCCACGACATCAATATAAGAACAGACTCAACTCAACAATCTGCACCTTCGCCCTTCACTCACTTCGTGCCAAGTATAAAACAAGCCTCTTGCGGAGACGTTTGCCAATATACCCAAAACCAGCAGTAGCATCTCCTCACGAAAATATACAACACTATGGAAACCACAAATAGTCAACGTGATGCACTTAAAAATGAACTACGGGTGCACTACCGCAGAGTCAATGCATAATTACAAACTCATCTCCTAATCCACACCGTCGAATACGCTTACCTAATATCACGCACGCCTCATGCGTAGATGTTCGCACTACATCCAGAGCTAACGGCAGCATCTCCTCGCCATACTGACCACCTTTCCACTTACACACGTCTCTGATGGTGAGAGACCACACCACCCAATGTTCCTCACTCACAGGCTCCTTCTGCCGGCGTGTAAGGTGGGTTAAATGCTCCTTGTACTTTAACATGGACTCCTTGAACTCGGTATATGCCCTGGGTTGGCACTTCCACATCTCACACGACAGTCTCAGCTTGGTGAACTGGCCTAAAGCACTAGACTTGGAGACTAATGTGTTGAGAACCTGCGTTTGCGATAGGTAAATTATAGAATTTAAAACCGAAGTGTGCAATTGAAGGGATGTCAGCCTTGTAGCTAAGGCAGCCCATACAAGTGTGGATTAAAATCGTTGTGCGCGTCAGTCTATGGTAGGTCGGAACGTTGACGTTGACCCTTAGGCTTCGAAAAATCTATTCAAATTTGAATGCTCCACGAAGCGCGCATCTCATGGTGGTTGAATGTCCATTTGAAGGTCAACAAAACCAGTGGGTCAACAAAACCAGTAATCCGTCTATCAGGGTGACGAACCACGGATGCACGGCGTACGCGCCTGCAAAATAAATACACTTTCTCATTCAACAAAACACATCACACACATACACATATATATATATATATATAATATATATATATATATATATATATATATATATATATATATATATATATATACTA